CAGGAGGCGAACCTCAGGATGAATAAGAGCCTCACATACTGGCAGCAGAGAGAGAAAATGGATACCAGGTCAGAATCATGAATCAATTGCATTTGTACAGCTCTGAGCACAATGTGCTCAAGTCCTGAATGACAACGGAGAGAGGAAAGTTTTACCTTTCCCTCCTTCCTTCCCTCTGCACCATTCCATCTATCTATCACTCTGTCTATGTCATCTCTCCAGCCATCCCTCCTTGTATCCATCCCTCCTTCTGTATCTCCATTTGTCCACCCACCTAGCCCACGCTCCGTACCATCCATCCCTCTCTCTTTCACTCCCTCTATCTCTCCCTCATCTCTGTCCATCCATCCCTTTTCTTCTCTATCGTCCCTTCCATGGACTCTATCATTCTATCTCCCCCACTCCCTCTGACACTTTATTGCACCCTTCTGCCTCAGTCCTTTCGTCATTCTCTGGCATCCCAATGTAGCTCACCGTTCGTGATCTCCACCTCTATCTTTTTACGGGAGGGAGTGTGCTCCACACTGCACTGGTAGGTGTTGTGCGCCAGGTCCCAGGCAGGGATGGTGAGCTGGCTGACGAGGGTGAAGGCCTTGCCACTGCTCTGTGCCATGGCTGGGAAGGTCTTGATCCCCTTGGTCACGCTGCCGGAATTCCACTTGACGTTCACGGGCTCCGGGAAATAGCCGGTCACTAGGCAGGCTATGGTCACCTCACAAGTGGGGCTCCTGGCGATGTCGTCACAACAGGGGAACAAAGGGAACACAGAGGGGGCTTGCGGGAGCTCTGTCAGGGAGAAAGGCAAGTCAGGACGTTGAGAACTGAGAATCCTAAACCCCAAAAATAGTGGGACTCCAACCTGCGAAGGGGCTCTACAGAGCTTGGCATAAAACCCAGGAGTCCTGGCTGTCAGCCTGCTCACCTCTCCACTCCACTAGACCCCACTCCTCCTCAGAGACAGAGACAGACCCCAGGAACCCTGGCTGTCAGCCCACTCACCTTTCCACTCCACTAAACCCCACTCCTTCCCAGAGTCAGAGACAGACCCCAGGAGCCCTGGCTGTCAGCCCGCTCACTGCTCCTCTGCACTAGACCCCACTCCTTCCCAGAGTCAGAGACAAACCCCAGGAGCCCTGGCTCCCAACCCCTCTACACACACGAACCCACTAGATCTCTCAGTCCTTGCGGAGCTTGTGATGCATACAGATAGATGTGCTGCAAGGAAACATTGGAATCGTTATCATCTCACTAGCCTTCCCTTTCCAGGATCAGTCTATCCCCAGACCTACTGTTAGAGTGGGGGGAGAGGGGGCTGGGAGCCAGAACTCCTGGGTTCTATCCCTGGCTCTAGGAGGGGAGTGGGGTCTTGTGGCTTAGAACGGGTGGGCTGGGAGCCAGAACTCCTGGGTTCTATCCCCAGCTCCAGGACAGCAGTAAAGTCTGCTTTTTCACACACACGCACCCCATGGCAGATTCTCTAAAATACCCCACCCCCCAGAGATTTCAATCTTTTCAGAGTTCTGCAGGCTTCATGACCAAATCTCTGGTGAAAAGCAACAAACAACCCATAGGGGCCGAAAAGGGGAAGTTGAGACAAGTGAAAGTTGTTTTTTCACCCCAGCGTTTGCCCCATCCAATCCAATTTTCACACCTTCTCGC